TTTTGAGATGGAGTCTTGCTCTGTTGCCCAGGCTGGAGTGCAGTGGCGTGATCTCGGCTCACTGCAACCTCAGCTTCCCGGGTTCAAGTGATTCTCCTGTCGCAACCTCCCAATTACAGGTGGCCGCCACTACACCCAGCTAATTTTTGTAGTTTTAGTAGCGACGGGGTTTCACTACATTAGCCAGGCTGGTCTCAAACTCCTGACCTCCGGTGATCCACCTGCCTGGGCGTCCCAAGGTGCTGCAATTACAGGTGTGAGCCACCGTGCCCAGCCGAGCCCTTTCTCAGGTATTTGCTAGAAAGTAGGTTTCAGGCAAACAAAACGACAGAAGTCAGTTACATAAAGAATGGTGGTGATTAATCTCAGCACGGTGGAGGGCTGAGGCAGGAGGATCACTTGAGCACAGGAGTTCAAGATGAGCCTCAGCAACATAGTGAGACCCCATTTCAGCAAATAATTTTTTTTTTTTTTTTTTTGAGATGGAAACTGGCTTTGTCACGCAGGCTGGAGTGCAATGGTGCAATCTCACCTCACTGCAATGTCTTGCCTCCCAGGTTCAAGTGATTCTCTGGCCTCAGCCTCTCAAGTAGCTGGGATTACAGGTGCCCACCACCACGCCCAACTAATTTTTGTGTTTTTAATAGAGATGGGGTCTCACCATGTTGGCCAGGCTGGTCTCGAACTCCTGACCTCAAATGATCCACCTGGCTCGGCCTCCCAAATTGCTGGGATTACAGGCATGAGCCATCACCCCCGGCCTCTATAAATAATTTTTTAAAAAATTAGCCAGCTGGCTGGGCGTGGTGGCTCACGCCTGTAATCCTAGCACTTTGGGAGGCCGAGGTGGGTGGATCACCTGAGGTCAGCAGTTCAAGACCAGCCTGGCCATCATGATGAAACCCCATCTTATAAAAAAATAAAAATTTTTAAAAAATAAAAATTGGCCAGCTATGGTGGTGTGCATCTGTGGTCTCAGCTACTAAAGAGGCTGAGGTGGGAGGATCGCTCTAGCCCAGGATGTCAAGTCTGCAGTGACTACACTCATGCCACTGCACTCCAGCCAGGACAACAGAGCAAGGCCCTGTCTCAAAGAGAGAAAAAAGGAATGTTGGTGAGCATTAAATACAGAGCTACTTGTGGAACTAAAATTAAGTGAAGGTTGAAAGACAGAACTATAGGTGTTGTGGGGGGGGGGTGTGGGGGTGTCTGTGACGGAGTCTCACTCTGTTGCCTAGGCTGGAGTGTAGCAGCACAATCTTGGCTCAGTGCAACCTCTGCCTCCCAGGTTCAATCAATTCTGCCTCAGCTTCCCAACTAGCCAAGACTGCAGGCTGGACTGCAGTGGCGTGATCTCAGCTCACCACTACCTCCTCCTCCCAGTTAATTAAAGCAATTCTTGTGCCTCAGCCTCCCCAGTAGCTGGGATTACACGTGCGCACCACCATGCCCAGCTAATTTAGGTATTTTTAGTAGAGACAGGGTTTTGCCATGTTGGCCAGGCTGGTCTCAAACTCCTGACCTCAGGTAACTCACCTACCTCAGCCTCCCAAAGTGCTGGGATTATGGACGTGAGACACGTCGCCTGGCCAGAGCTGTAGTTTTTGCTGCCTATCTGGTCTGATCATGCAGACATGGGATGCATGTTTTTTGTTTTTGTTTGTTTTTTTGAGATGGCGTCTCGCTCTGTCACCAGGCTGGAGTGCAGTGGTGTCATCTCGGCTCACCACAACCTCCGCCTCCTGGGTTCAGGTGATTCTCCCGCCTCCTGAGTAGCTGGTACTACAGGCGCATGCCACCATGCCCAGCTAATTTTTGTATTTTTAGTAAAGACGTGGTTTCACCATGTTGACCAGGATGGTCTTGATCTCTTGACCTCGTGATCCACCCGCCTTGGCCTCCCAAAGTGCTGGGATTACAGGCGTGAGCCACCGCGCCCGGCCGCAATCTTGTACTATTAAGAGTACCGTTAGTCGCCAGGCACGGTGGCTCACGCCTGTAATCCCAGCACTTTGGGAGGCCGAGGCGGTTGGATCATGAGGTGAGGAGTTCAAGACCAGCTTGGCCAACATAGTGAAACCCCGTCTATACTAAAAATACAAAAATTAGCTGTGCGTGGTGGCAGGCACCTATAATCCCAGCTATGCAGGAGGCTGAGGCAGAGAATTGCTTGAACCAGGGAGGTGGAGGTTGCAGTGAGCCGAGATTGTGCCACTGTACTCCAGCCTGGGAGACAGAGCGAGACTCTGTCCCAAAAAAAAAAAGAGTACTGTTAGCTGTAGAGTTTCGTCTTGTTTTGTGGTGTTTGTTTTGATGCTGTTGTTTTGAGGCAGGCTTGCTCTGTCGCCCAGGCTGGAGTGCAGCGGCCGATCATGGCTCACTGCAGCCTCCTCTTCCTGGGCTCAAATAATCCTCCTTTCTCAGCCTCCCAAGCAGCTGGGACAACAGGCATGTGTCACCACACCCAGCTATTTATTTATTTTTATTTATTTACTTATCGGTGAGACACAGTCTCGCCATGTTGCCCAGGCTGATCTGGAACTCCTGGCTTCAAGCAGTCATTCTTCCTTGGCTTCCCAAAGTGCTGGGATTACAGGTGGGATCCGCTGCTCCCTTCCTGGCTGGAGATTTTTATTTTATTTTTCTATTTATTTATTTATTTGAGATGGAGTTTCAGTTTTGTTGCCCAGGCTGGAGTGCAATAGCACGATCTTGGTTCACTGCAACCTCCGCCTCCCAGGTTCAAGCGATTCTCCTGCCTCGGCCTCCCAAGTAGCTGGGATTACAGGCGCATGCCACCAGGCCTGGCTAATTTTTGTATTTTTGGTAGAGATGGGGTTTCACCATGTTGGCCAGGCTGGTCTCGAACTCTGGCCTCAAGTGATCCGCCCGCCTCTGCCTCTCAAAGTGCTGGAGGTATAGGCGTGAGCCCCCACGCCAGGCCCAGCGTATGCTGTTTCTCTCCATTCGTCCCTTCCTTACCAGCGTGGTGCAGGGCCAGGGGTCCTCCTGCCTGCCGGACCACAGAGAGGGAGCACTGCCCACTGCTCGGCTGCCCGCTCTGGTCTTGGGTTGAGCCACGGCTGGATTCCTGTGATTTGGAATGACAGGGACAGAGGGGTAGAGATTCCCGAACCAGATGTGGGTCAGGGGAGGAGACTACACCATCTTGCTCTGATGCTGCGGGCTTGTTGTCATGGAAACCAAAGCCACTCTCTTTAGGAAGGACCCATTAAAGTGCAGGAAATAATCAAGGCTCTCTCTGGCAGCTCCCTACCCTCCCTGGTGGGAGACAATCACTGTTTGAGCCCTTGGGCGTGCCGTGTTAAGTTCTGCCCTCCTCCCTCACTTGCCTCCCTGCAGGAAATGTCTCTGAAACATGCGCAAGGGAGCCAGCCAGGTGTCAGAGAGGACCCTCAAGGTTTCTGAACTGTCCCCTGCCCAAACCTGAGGCTTCAGTTCCAGCTGTAGCTGGGGATGTTTTACTGGGTGACCGTCACAAGCTCCTGTCTGCGTCTTCGCATCTTCCCCTGGGAAAATGACAGAGATACGTTATAATTGCCACGTTGTCTCTGAATACCAAACTATTAGAGGGATAGAAGGTACGGATTCAACTTGCAGACGTTGGATCAGACTGCCTGGATTGGGTGGGGTGCGGTGGTTCACCCCCATAATCCCAGCACTTTGGGAGGCCAAGGCAGGTGTATCACTTGAGGTCAGGAGTTCAAGACCAGCCTGCTCAACATGGTGAAACCCCGTCTCTACTAAAAATACAGAAATTAGCCAAGCATGTGGTGGGTGCCTGTAAACCCAGCTACTTGGGAGACTGAGGCAGAGAATGGCTTGAACCCGGGAGGCAGAGGGTGCAGTGAGCCGAGATCGTACCACTGCACTCCACCCTGGGTGACAGAGTCAGACTTTGTCTTAAAAATAATAATAATTGCTACATTGTCTCTCTGAATACCAAACTGTTAAAGGGATGGAAGGTAGGGATTCAGTTTGCAGACCCTAGATGAAACTGCCTGGAGTGAAATCCTGGCTAAGCCACCAGCAGCTGTGCAACCTCAAGCAGCTTGCTTGACCTCTCTGGGCCTCAGTTTCCTCTCCTGCAAAATGGGGTGCAATAAGACTACCAACCTCACAGGAGATCATGTATCTAAAGCCATCAGTGTCTGGATAAGGAAAATGTGGTATATCCATGCAATGGAATATAACTCAGCCATGAAAAGGAATGACGCTCTGACACAGGCTACAAGAACCTTGAGGACGTCCGGCTCAGTGAGAGAAGTTAGATGCAAAAGGCCGCACAATGTGTGATCCCATTTCTACGACATGTCGGAACAGGTCAATCCAGAGAGAAAGAAATCAGATAAATGGTTGCCAGGGCCTGGGGTGTGGGGAGAAGAATGTTTCTTTTTTTTTTTTTTGAAATGAAGTCTCGCTGTGTTGCTCAGGCTGGGGTGCAGTGGCACAATCTCAGCTCACTGCAACCTCTGCCTTCCTGGCTCAAGCAATCCTCCCATCTCAGCCTCCCAAGTAGCTGAGGCATGGTATGTGCCACCGTGCCCAGCTAATTTTTGTATTTTTAGGAGATCTGGGGTTTCGCTACGTTGGCCAGGCTGGTCTCAAACTCCTGATCTCAGGTGATCCACCCACCTTGGACTCCCAAAGTGCTGGGATTACAGGCCTGAACCACCATGCCTGACCTCCTCTTTCTTTTTTACAGAGGGGAGTCTTACTAGGTTGCCCACACTAGTCTCAAACTCCTGACCTCAAGCCATCGACCCACATCAGCCTCCCAAGTAGCTAGGTTGGCAGGACACGAGGCATTACACCTGGCTAACCTGTGGGTTCTGACACTTACCTCTAGGGGATTAAAATCATAATTTAATTGCTCTGTGGCCAGGGTAGAAGGGGATCTCTCTCACACATTTTTTTTTTCCTTTTTTTTTCTTTTTTTTTTTTTTTTT